ACTTGGAGCCGGGGAAGCTTCCAGCAGCTTCTCACAGGAGCCATCTCTGTAGCCGCACCCCTGCTACCAAAACCCTGGCACACAAACCCAAACCAACTGCCTGCAGATGATACACATCTATGCAGCATGAAGTGGGGGAGAAGTAAACAGCATTAGGACACTTGATCAATTTTCTTCATTTTCCATATTCAGGAGTCCAGCTATCTGGTAGACCACCAGTACACCTGCCTTTCAACCTGCCATACGTGTGCTAAAATGCTGAATTGTAGCTTCTGATGCTTTATTCAGCTTGTTCCTTACAGGTGCTATGGGAAGAAGCTCTGCTGTACCAGATTCATACTTTAATTTGTAGCATTTTGAGGGTGCCCTGCCCTAAATTTGAAATGTCCCTTGGCAGTTCATGCTGCTTAGGATGCCTAGCACCTTCATCGGGATCAGTGAAGTACCATACTAGAGGGGATTGAATCTCAGGCTATATAAGCCATCAATGTCACTGGGTCAGTCAGATAATTGCGAGGTGAGGTCCTGCTCCATTTTTGTTATTCATTATGCTGCACATTCAGTCCCCTGCATTCACTAGCATAACAGAGATACTCTGCAGAATCTCATTGAGCCAAATTGCTTTAAGGACGCCTTGGTCTAATAAGTCCCCATCTATGTGAGGGAAGGTGGAGGATTGCAGCAATGCATCCTCCCATACTGTCCTCCTTGAAGCTGATGCAAGCTCTGCAGCTCTCAGGGTCATCTCCTCTGCCACCAGCCCCTGAGCATATTGCCTCCAAATCCATATCTGGCACAGAAAGCAAGATTCGCTGCTGACAGCACGACTTCAACTGGCCAAAACTTCTTCCAGCCCATCAGACTTCTGTGTATCAGCTTTAGCTTTGCTGATAAGAAGTCAACAAAAGGATTATTCTGTAAAAATTCAGGGATTTTATTGTATCTCTGTGGGTGTGAAAATTCTAGTTTCAAAAACCATGCACGACTTTGATAAGGGTATTTGGCAATTGGCTTGCCCGTTGAAACAGCCTGGTTTTAGCCCATCAAGGCTGTGCTGCATCAATGTCATATTGTTTTAATAATGTTAATTAGAAGGGAGAAAAGATAATTGTCTTTATTAATAATTTGTAATTTTTATAATCCCTTGATATGAATAGTGTAACATCACTGGAGGTGGATTTTTGTTACAAGATAAATGCCAAAGTATGTTCCTCAACTCTAGATTAACTGGGGGAGAGGGATACAGAGTTTATATCATCGGATGAATGCTTAGTCTTCTTCTTATCTTTTAGCCAGCTACTTTATTTCAGGAGTATCCTGTGATCTGGTTCAAGCACTTCTGTCTATGTCTATTCAGTACAGAACTGACTGTTTTCAGCTGATTTTGCTTAGTCTTAGCTAGAGCTGGTTGCTGTCTAACAAAGACATATGGTTTCTACTTTCTCTCTGTTGGGAACTGCTGCCCATTGTGCGTTTTCACTGTCACCCAGGCACCAAGATGGGCTGCCTCTGTGCTGCCTTGGTTTACAGAGAAAAGTAGAATCAGCAGAAGGGGTATAACTAGATGCCTTCATCCTGGTTTTTGTTGACTACGACAGATACAAATGAAAGAAATACCTAGCAAAAAGAGGAGGACAACTTTTTAGCATGCTGTAATCCTGCACATCTAAAAGCAATTTTTGAAAAGCCTGGGTAAAGGGAAAAGTACTGAGCAGAGCTTGGGCACAGGACATCCTTCCTGAATGCTGCAAACGCGTCACATCAGAACCTGCTTCCAGCTGGAGCATGTGTGTGCTTGTGTGATGGCTAAATGCATTGAATGGAATAAAATCAGAAGTCAGTAATCCTCAGTGATTTGTCCTCACACAGAATATAAAACAGTTACTGTTTCCTCCTTAATGATAGAGCAACTACAAATATCTTTCTGTGTCAAGTTCCCCATGACAATTTTTTCTCAGGGGGCAGGGTGGTCTGCCACTTCCCTGTAGTCTTCAATAACTTATAGTGATAGTATTAGTATTAGTATCTTGCTGATATTGCCTTTCCCATGTGTCAGCTCAGACGGACTTGGGGCAGAAAATCAGCACATCCAGCACACAGCAAAGTGCAGGGCTAATTGCTCAAGCCATCCCTGCCTGAGGTGGGACATGCAGACCTGCGGAGCAGGGCACTGCTGAGCGTCCCCTTTCCACCAGCAGGCAGACCCCAGCAAGAGCAGCCCCTGGTAATCCCTGCGGGTTTCGGCGCAGCCTGGCTGGGTGGTGCCCTGCCTGCCCCAGGGTCTGATGCCACAAGGTAGACCAGGGCACGGGTGGCTGCCAGCACAGCCAAGTGAGACAGGTCCTGCATGGGAAGTGCTCCCTGAAACCTGGGGGATGTGCCCAGCCCAGCTAGTGACACCTCCCTGAACCAGACTGTGACAGGCACTGCAGCAGAGGGGCAGGATGGTGGTACAGCTCGCAAAGGGGGAACAAAACATGCTGCAATTTAGAATCACATGCTGTAACATCAAAATAATTGTAGGGATTTGCTGCCCTCTGGCAGGATTTTCTTACAGCTCTGATTCTCTGTGAATGATGCTCCAGCACATCAAGGTCTCTGCATTTCCCAGTTGGTTGCTGGCAAAGCAAAGCAAGCAGCTGGGGACCACTGTTGCCGCCTCTGTGCAGCCCTCCTGGAAAGCCAGGAGCACATCCTGATCCCAGGCAGGGTCTGGCATTAGGGGAAGAGCTGCTGGACTGGCAGGAGCCCCCGTCCCTTCTCTCAATCCCTCTGGATGAGTCAGCAAGCCTGACTCTATAAAGCTGGTCCTTTCACTGGTTGTCACTTTGCAAGAGCAAGCCCATCAAAGATGATTAAGGGAATGGAGCATCTCCCTTATGAGGAAAGGCTGAGGGAGCTGGGTCTCTTTAGCCTGGAAAAGAGGAGACTGAGGGGTGACCTAATCAATGTTTATAAATATGTAAAGGGTGAGTGTCAGGACGGATGGAGCCAGGCTCTTCTCTGTGACATCCAGTGACAGGACAAGGGGCAATGGGTGCAAGCTGGGACATAGGAGGTTCCACTTGAATATGAGAAAAAACTTCTTTACAGTGAGGGTGACAGAGCACTGGAACAGGCTGCCCAGAGAGGTTGTGGAGTCTCCTTCTCTGGAGACATTCAAAGCCCGCCTGGATGCGTTCCTGTGTGATCTGATCTAGGTGTTCCTGCTCCGGCAGGGGGATTGGACTAGATGATCTTTCGAGGTCCCTTCTAATCTCTAACATTCTGTGATTCTGTGTGATTCTGTGATTCTGTGATCATCTTCCAGCTTTGGCTGTATATCCTTCTAGCAATAAACTTCAGTTTGGCCTCTACTGCTGACAAGCCCTGATTGGCTTTGCTGAGTTTGATTTCTTGGTATGGTATACACCTTCTGAGAGATACTCAGCAAATCGGGCTAATTTTCATTAACACCATTTTCCAAAAGGCCCATTAATGCTGATATACCACTTCTGGATAGTGGTTTTGAAAATCTGGGCCTCCGCTTCATTAAACACAAAAGTATTGTGAGTATCATGGGGTGAGATTTATCTCACAAAACGTTGAGTTCTGCAGTGTCTATGCCATACTGTGTTGGTCCTGTGGACTGCCCACCTGGTCAGCAGGAGGAACAGGCACATCTTGGACACCAGACTGCCCTGATGTCTCCAACTCTCATACGACTGTATCCCAGAAGCATCTATGGCTTATTAGAAGTACCGAGGTTGGCTACCTTGGATGTTGATGTTTTTGCTGCACGTGCCTGAAATTAGGTCATTCTAGTCCTACGCTAAAATAGCAAACAGATGGGGGAGTGGGGAGGTCCATAAAAGCATCTCAGGTCCATAGATATTCATTATTGTTTTTCTGCTTTGAGATAAAGGAAGGATAACATAGAAGCACTATTCCCACTAGTATGTGTAACAGTCTGGCTGCCCATATGACACCCATGATCCTCACCTCCAGCAGATCACAGTCCCAGGAGAGAGAAATAGGTAGGCAAGGACAAGAATAACAAGCAGGACTCAAATACAAATCCATGATCATCACTGATGGTTGATGGTACAGCTGTGTGGGATTTCCCCAGGGGAAACTGGATGCAGGGGCAGCCTGGAGTTGGAGGATGAATAAGACTCTCTCTCTCTCTTACATGTAATATATGCATGTAGTTTTTGCTGTGTATCTGTTTTCTTTTCTGCTTAATACACACATAATCGGCAGGGACCTTGTGACTAATGATTCTGCTTGTAGCAATGTCCACAAGCCTTAGCATCAAAGTCCACATTGCACAATGCAGTGCTATGCAGAGGTATCAGAGCTGGTCTGGAAGGCGCTGGCTGTGTGTGATAGTGGAGCTAGGCTAATAAACAGCCCAGAGCAAGTTTTCAGGAATCTGCTTTATTGTTGTCAAGGGTTTGAACTTGTATCCCTTTACCGTGCTGCACAATGGTGATGAAATATTTGTGCTTGTTTAGAGCTATTTGGAGTATCTCTGTCTGGGACTGTACTATACAGGTCAGGGATGTTCATGAAGCTGTGAAGATGGTGGTAAAAGCCAAGGTTCAATTTTATACTTCCCTTTGTTATTATTGAGAAAGCTTGAAGAATAAGGTAATAATGTCTTCATCAACCTTTCCAGCTGCAGCAGCCACAGCCACTAAGACACCCTGGGACCCGCTGAAGTGATGGCAACATCTTCGGTCATTTCAGTAAGACCTGGATTGATGAGACAAGCAACCGTGGTTACGCTGACTTTCACAGACTTCCATTTATTTATTTCAGGTGGGAATCTGCCCCCTTTCTTTGGGTTATATTGTGCTTGCTTTGTTTCTTCAACGTTAGCATGGTAGATACCTTAGCTGATACCAATTCATATAGCTATATATGGAATAAGTACTAATGCCTCTTCTGTTATGTTCTACAGACAAACTGGGAGATCTGCCTAATGTTGTCTTAAGTCACAAAAGTACCGCCTGAAAATGGGACACTGCTATGCGTCATTCACCTTTCAGCCCTTGGCATGGCTGCGCTTAGCACTCATCTGGACTTCCCTGCCTATGAAACCAGCCCGACCACTGGTTTGGGAGACGAAGCCTTTCACAGCCACCTGGAATGAACGACAGACCTGTTCTCTCTGAGGTACGACATCATAGTGAACCTCAAAATGTTCCATATGATTGGAAGCCTGTTAAAGCAAGAGGGAAGAATGTGACCATATTTTTTTAAATAGGGTAGGCTATTATCCTTGGTGCACATCACAGGAAGTCTCTGTTAATGGTGGCCTACCCTAGAACTTCAGTCTGCAAACTCATCTGGAAAAAACTGGCCGTGACTATTACACCCCAGCTAAGGAGTTCAGTGGATTAGCTGTCATAGACCAGGGGCACTGGAGGCCTCAGTGGGCACGCAGCTGGGATGCAAAAGATCTCTATGGAAGAAAGTCCAGGAAACACATAACTGAAACGGAAGGGAATATTTCAGCAAATTATGTTGAACATTTAGCCAGAGTTTCCTTTGAAGAAAGTGCAAGAGCTTTTATGAAGTAAACAATTGCATTAGGAATGAAAAGCAGACCAAAGGGACTCCGGGGATACTATTTATAGCCCAACTGTCATAATTACAATTTCTGTGATTGGAACTACACTGATTCCTGCCCAAGAGTGAAGTTCTGAGGAACAATTAACTTTCCTGGCTCTGGGATATCCATGCAGCCCTGTATCCTTCCATTGGCATTAAGAAACTCCTTGGAAACAGTCAAAAGCATTTGCCCGGATTTGTGTGTACTTGACTAGGTTATAGAGATGAACCTTTACTATTTCTCTCTCTGGTAAGCTTTTGCTGGAACAATGTGGGCTGCATTTATGGTTTAACCATTCTTGCAGATGGTGCATCAGGATGGAAAACCTCCTACTTGGGCCAGCTCTGCTGTTTCCTGTTAATTGTCCACATGCTTTAAAGAGCTCAATGTTCTGAAGAAAAAATGTAGCCTCAGATACCTATTTTTTTTCTTTAATTCATCACTATGTTATATTCAAACATGGATTTGAATAGATTAAAAGGATTTCAGCAATTTGATGCAGTATGTAGGAGGCAGTTAATACATTAATCCTCCCTGATGTATTTTCTTGTGCTCAGGTATGCAATCACTAACTAATCCCCAGATAACTGCCCCTCTTATAGAAGGGAAACTGAGGGAGAGATGTTAGTAACTTGCTCAGTGTTACCTCAGAATGGGAAATGGAAACCAGCAGTCTTTCCACATGCCTCCATCTCAAAAGCATTTAATTTAGTCCCATATTTACCTTGGAGCAGGCAAATGGTGCACCAGAAGCAGGGAGTACTGCTCACATCAGCTGAACACACACACAAGTATTTCCAAGATAAGTGCCTTACCCTGGTCCTTCTTTATGTGATTCTGGACATCCCCCCAGAAACTGGATGAAGACAGTAGGTTTCATGTGAAAAAAGCAGCATAACCTATCTGTCACAGCCCTGGCTTAGTTCTCCCTTGTAGACAGTGACTGCACTACCAGCAGGTCTCAATTTCTGTGTTTCAGAGTTTAGCAAGTGAGCTGTATTCACTCAGAGGGCTATGTTCAGGCATTCAGCCCAGGTACAGCCTGAAGCTGGCTCCTTGTCTGGGAAGGAGCATTATCTCCCTCTCCCACTACTACTACTACTACTAGGTCCCACTACTCCCCTAGCACTGCCATCACTCACTACACTTCCCAGTAAGGGGCTAAGCTTCTCACAGTCTTGGAGGCAAATGCCTATTCTTAGGCATTAAAGGAGGTGTAGGCGCCTGCTTTGGTGGTTTGATCCAGCTTGTCCTTCCCTAGATTGCAAGCAAAGGATAGACAGCGGACATCAATAAATGCTGCAGGCTGATGGGCACCCCCTTTGCCATTTTATGCCCAGTTTCCGCCTCTTTTCCCCTTCAGGCAACTAATTCCTGTGAAGTTTTTCTACTTTGATTCTTGATGTGATGTGCCCCTCAATCTCCCTTAAATCAATGATGGTGTCTAGGGAGTCACTTGCATACCAATGGTCTTTCATCTTCAGTGCTTGTGGCACTGCAATTCACTTGTTGCTGATCCTTAATGACTGTTTGAATTAAGGATAAACACACAAGCACCAAATACCCTCTCCTTACACCCTGGGATATGAGGAAAAGGTACAAAGACATGTCTCTGAAACAAGTCTAGAAAAAGCACGCAAATTGAAACTGAAATTCTTAAGATTCATCAAGTGTTGCATTTTCCCTTTCATTTAAGGTTGCACAATGCCAACATTCTCCCTCCTATAGTGTGTACCTATTTACAGTCACCTCTTTCTAAGGTTTTTATGAGAAGGTGAGTGATCTCCTAGGGAAAGCAGCAAGAACAATGCATGCCTTTAGAATCACAGCTTCCAAACTGGAGAGGGATGGGGAAACCAGCTGATTGACATAGCAGAATGTCTCTCTTCTTCCCCTCATCAGCAAAAACAGAACTGAGGGAATGTTTTGGGGAATTCCCATGTTAAAAATCCCACTTTAATTAAAAGCTTTTAGCTGATTTTAGTAATTGATGAGATATCAAATAATTACAATTAAATTTTGCATCAAAGTAAATTTTTTTCTCAGTGTTTGTTCACTTGCTTATTACCAACATCTCAGGCATTACCTAAGTTTGCAACTTATGTTTAATAATCTTTAGACAGCAAGCCTTGAGCCACAATAAAATATAGTTCATAGGGGCCAGAATGAAAAGAAAACGTAGTCCGAGGGACAGCCACATAACAAACCATTGGATACTTTAGAAAGGCTGTGAAATGCTGTGAATTAGCCTGACAGTGTTGTCTTTACTCTTTTAACGGTAGCAAGATCTTATTAACACTATTGGAGGGAGTGCCCTGGGAGCTGCAGGCATTGTTATGTGGCGAGATACAAATTTAATTTTTTCAGAGGTAAGGCTGTGCCTGATTTAAATGCCTCATTTTATCCTAGTAATAGATACTGTCTGACTGCGCCAGTTCTGAGTACTTGGTATCAGCAGAGCTGACTGCTTCACCAGTCTTTGCTGTCAGGATGACCCAGTCAGGATGACCATGGAACGTGATCAATTCTTCCTGGCTCAACAAGGTCTTGTGAGGCTCACAGGCATGTTTCTAGCATACATCATTGCTGCTTTGTAGATCTACAGACTGAGGTGTTTTCTGGGGAGTGAAAGGTGCTAAAGCCCTTTGCACCTCTATTGGGTTAAATTTTCCATATAAAACTTCCTAATAATGCTTTAAATTAGTCAAATTTAAGTTATCCTGAATGAATTAATTAATGCAGGCTGTTTACATATTGCAAATTTTTCAGAATGTAAAAGGAAAAAATGGAGTGGTTAGTTTCACGTCAGCTAGAATTTCTTTTCTACCATTCACAAAACAAAGTGCAAAAATTGGCTGATTATTCTGAATTAGGGCCCTACATTATCAATATTGCAGCAGCAGCTGGGGTGCGCAGCAGGCATCTTTGTCAGGACAGTGGATGACTTGTGTGAAGAACCTGGAGAGCCTTGACATATCTACATTTGAATCCTAAGAGCTTCTGGATGCCTCAGAGGACCAAGGATTTATTGTGAGAGGAGAAGCATAAAATGAAGATCTGGAAATAATGGCAGAGACATTTATCTGCCACTGTTATCAGGGTTATGAAGGAACGGACTGTGAGGAACTTAAAGTTGCCGATGGCCATCCAGGGAGCTCTGCAGACTCTGTCTCACCCAGAAATTTGCATTGACCTGCCTGCTTCCTTTGCCTTTGACGAGTCTTCTCTAACTGCTCCTCAGTCAAAGGGTTGGTTTCAGTCCGTCGAGAGGGATGGTGGAGTGGATCCAACAAAAACATCTCACATGCCCTGCAGCTTGGGACTGAACATGTCATGGTCCCAGACGTAATCCAAACCCTGTAGCTGTGCCCTGGGGTTTAATGCCCATAAGGCATGGAGAGAGGGGAGCACCTTGAAGGCTGAGTCAAAAACGCACAGGTTGTAGGACTATATCTGTCTCTCAATCCCATCTTCTGAGATTAGGCTGTTAGGGAGACTAGAAGCCAGGTTTCTGCCCAGCTGACAGCCACAACCAGGGCAGTAGAAGCCTGCTACTACTGAAAAAAAGTAGCACGAGATTCACTTTTTCACTTTGTAAAGAGATGAAGAGTCTACTCATTTTATTGTATGTCATACTGGATATAGCATCCTCTCAGAAAATGGAAGATGGGTGGAGATTTCTAGTTTATTTTCCATTTGAGCGAATTCAAGACCATGTTTTCCTCTTTCATGTCCTGTGTGATGGAGGTGTTCAAGCTTTGAGCCCTTCACTAAGTAGAAAGAAATTAAAGAGTCAGGAGATCAGGAAGAAAAAGGACAAACTGTACTCTGTTGATTAGAATATTTACTGAGAAAGGAATGCCTATACTCTAATCCAAAAACAAAGGGTCTCCCTGTGGGTTTTTTATGTGATGACTATATAAAATAAAATTAATAAGTAGTGATGGGAGCAGTAACTCCATCTCAGCCAGGTCTACTTCCATCCAGAATCTATGACAATATTCCAATGACTTTTAAATTTAAAGCTAATGAAAGCACCCCATGGCTATTACAGAGATGCAATCAACAAGCATCAGGCAAGTTTATAATCGCCAACAAGAAACTTGTGATTTTGCACCTCTTAGCAGCTTTTCATTCTTCAAACATATGCTGTTATCCTCATATCTTCCCTCAGTGAACTATTGCTATAATAGCTATGTTAAATAAACGACTGCAAGGTGAACAAACACAATGTTAATAGAGCTCTTAAAGGCAAGTGAGAAAAATTTTCAAAATTTTTTTTTGATAGAACTCCTTTGTAGATAGGAATATTTAAAATTTCATTTAAGTTAGAGGAGAATTACTAAACCACAGCCAATCAATAAGAAATAAATTGAGTTTAGAATGATTCTTCTTTAAAATAAAAAAATATAAATGAAATCCTGGCTACTTCTTTCAAAAAATAAATTAAGGAGATTTAATAAAAATTTTCTCAAGCATATTTTTATGGTGAAGAAAATGAGAGATATTCTGGTTGAAATTTTTTTAATGGAATGGCTTTCAGAAAAATGCAGTTGGTTAAAATTAAAAAGTGCTGATTGTCGTGCATTTTTCAAGGAGAAGGTGTAAAAATGATTCATTTGACATTCTGCTTCTGCTGTAGGACTGAAGTACATGCTAATAGGAAACAAAATGTCTCTGTTTTCTGAGTGGCATTGGATTAGATGCTAGTTTTGACTCTTGCTGCCTTCATTAAGGTCACATCTTACTGCTCATAGTAACTAAACAATGGGAAAGAAAAACAGAGTTTTATAAAATCAAATTTCAAACTCTTCTGCGAATGTGTTAAATTAGCAACTGTCTGTAATACATGAATGCACCTTACATAAATGTTATGATATTCCTTGGTATCCAAACATGGATCCAGGTACGCTGGCCCAGATTTCTCCCACTCAATATATCCATTGAAATGGGTCAACCAAATTAGGAGGTAACCCATCTGGAGGGGGAGGCACCTCCTAAGGACTGCTTTAGGTACAGTGGGGTTTAGCTGGTTTTGAGGTAAACAGAACTTGGGCAGAGGCTGTTGGAGATGGCAGTTTTGGTTGGAGGGCCCTATATCCCACCTCAGTGTCAAGTCAGGCATGTGAGCCCTCGGTTGGATCTGGGCCACATTCCCTCTTTAGGCAGAGGTACCATAGCTTTTTATCAGCACACAAACCAGTTCTGTCATATTGCTTCCTTCCATTAAGAGAAAGAGGGTTTTTTTTTTTCTCTTCAAAGATTTAAATAATTTTTCAAGTGTTCTGCTGCTATTCTTGATTCTGAGGAAGGCTTCAGAATCCAGGTTACACTGAGAATTGTAATTCTTAATTATTACAGCCCAGGTAGGCAACCAACAACGCACAGGCCAGCACAACGAAACTGGACTTTCATATATTTCAGAATGGTTAGAACTGTCACACATGGTATGTAGAACATAATGCAGTATGTCACAATAAAACTGATGGTACGAAAAATTATTCTGTCTGTAGGTTTTTTCTCTGCAGATGATTAAATGTCAATTTATGTTATTATAACTACCAAATGGTAGTGATAAAATTAACTAATCTCTGTACATTCATGAGAATGGATGCTTTTAAGTATAATAAATATCCTATGTGATTTGGTATTTAACAATATTTATTGGTATAAGGTATGAAAACAGCCTTACCTTAAGTGTTCTTCCACCTAGCCAAAAGCTTAACAGACAGATAAAAATCTGCGTGTACCTCACTAATAACTGAAACTCTGTACAATTTTCAGTACATCTACTCTTTCAGCAGAGGCAACCAAGGTTACTGAAATGGTTTTGTAGTTGTGAATGAGAACAGGACATAAAGAAAACTGCTCTGACATTATTGCCTGCTGATCGCCCTCCTAGGCTCTTCCATGAGTCACTTTGAAATGGGAAAGCAGACACTAATTAAGAATATCAGGTAATTTGGAACCTCCATTTGTAGCATTCTCTGGTGTTGACATGCTCTACCACATTTCCCACTGGTTTTATGTTGATAAGTTATCTTCTCTTTTCGCTTCTATTTACTGTCATCCTGGCAAAGGACAAAAGTTTGAAACTGGCACCTGGTTGCAGCCATACCATGAAGTGGCTGTAAAATTCATGGCTTTGTTCCTTCATCTAGATCCAATCAGGTAAACCCCATCTGCACGTGTAGCCAGTTAGGAGGTACAGATCCAAGTGACAACAAGGTTAAATTAGTGTTTCAAATTAAATCAGAAATTCTGGTCAGGTGTAGGCAGCCCTTGTCTCAATCATCCTAAATTGTTCAGTACTAACTATTTTCCTTCCATTAGCCTTGAGGCAGCTGAAGGGTAATGCTGCATCTTCTTGCCCATTTCTGCTGCTTGATCTTACAGACAGGGATTTTTCTTTATCACTCAACCAGTTCCAAATGTCTGGATGTCGATTTTAATCCCAGGCAGGGGCTTTGCTGCAAATCAGTTTGACAGTCAAGTGCAAAATAGATTTGCCTTGGCATAAGTCAGGTGCCTAGCTCCCTGAAATGACAGTTAAACTCAAAGCAATAACACTATTAAACACAACATTTTAAATACTGCACAGATTGCTTTGCACATTCATTTTTAATTATATTCTGTATAGAAATTGATGTGAATAGGGCTCCAGAGTACACTTAACGAGTCAGATTAATAAAAGTTTGTTTCTATTATTCTCATTTTCATGTAAAGGGGATTAAAGAGTAACTACCTATCTGAGCCCTAGTACTCTCAGTTATGACAGATTATTTTTTGCTTATATTAAATAATTTAATCGTCACCGTTATTGTATTGAGAATAGTGGAAAAAATTACAGATCTCTTGTATCTTTTCACATATACTTCCACCTTGTGCTCCACTGGTGGAAGTTTGAGGTATGCCATTTTCTAAAAATTACAGATTTACATTTAAATCTTAATATTGAACTTTAACCCGCTGAATTAGTACCTGAATTTTCTACTGGGCTCCCACTTTAATGCAGGATTTTCTGAACAGGCCATCTTTAAAAAAAAAAAAAAAAAAAAAATATTCAAAACAGATTCAGAGGTATTGTGGCTTTTCTCTGCTAGGTGAACTTAGTCAATGGGGCTGCTTACTCAGATCACCGTTCATGGACTGGTATACCCTACAAACTCCCTACAGAAAATGAAGTCTTAGCTACATGACTTCCTCTGTATTCAGAAGTGAGATATTAACCGTTGTTACAGACTTCTCTTTTTCTGATTCTTTGGGAATTTGTGTATGTGTTTTTCCTACAAATATGTTTTGAGAGACTGGGAAAGGAGAAATACAGTATGAACTAGAACAGCTGATAATCACACATTAACACACATGGCAGGAGATTCAGATTCAAGTTCTTTCCTTGTTTTGACAGAAGTGTCACACCACCATCCTCTCCAAAAAAGATGTTTCAGATCCTTATTCAAACAAGATTTGTAGTTCAGCCCATGCCTCTCTAAAAGTAAAGGTAAACCTCTTGAATAACAAAGCCAATGAAAGTCAATGCTCTGCTATTCCAAGGATAGTAAAACTCTATGTCTTAATGATGGCAATGAATCTATTTTCTGCTAGGATTCTTGGTAAATAGCAATTCTTGAAAGCAGGAACTTATTAGCTCTTCCTGAAATCTGTGATTCTGTAAGGATTCTCTCTCAGCAAACAAGATCATGGTGAAATTTGCTGGGACCGGCTGCAGTTACACCTTAGATGTGACTGCTGAAAATGTGGCTCACTCTTTAACCCTCACTGGATTTGGTCAGCAAAGACCAAAGATTCTCTGAAGATTTGTTCTGGAGCAGCTCTGCAGATTCCTGCT